CCTAGTGGACGTATGAGAAAAACGTTCAGATCATTTTTATAGGAAATTTTATCAGCTTTATTTTTGGAAATAACCATTTTCTCGATATATCGCACGGGAAAAGAGATATCACGGGAAAACCGCGGAAAAACGTGATTTTTCGCGGTTTTTCCGATTTTCCGGAGTTAGCACAAGGAAAATTTGTTGGGAAACCAAAAATTCGAATTCAGCGTAAAAAATTACATAGGAATCGATCATAACCTGATTTCACCTAAATTTTGCAAGGTAAACCCCTATTCTATCCTCTATTGCCTGGGCTAAAAGTTAAATCCGTGAAATATTGACTTATTAAAGTCATTATTTTGAGTTAAAAAAGTTGTTTTGCCATAGTTTTGTAGCTAAAACTTAACGATAATTAAACGACGCTTTTTTAACTCAAAAATTGATGTTGCGTTGACTCAGCGCGGATTTAACTCAAGAAGACCAAATTTTGTCAACAAAAATCGACGCTTCCAGTCAAAGTGACCTTTGTGCCTTCGTGCAGATTAGTTAAAACCAAAAAGAGGTATATTATTGTTAATAATAAAAATGAACTAATGTCTAACTAAAATTTACAATTGCTATAGTGGATTATTAACTTTATTTACAATTATTGAGTAATACTAACAGTAGAATCAAGCAAAATTTCAAGCAGTAGTTGAGTAGAATCAAGCAAAACTTTCAGTGCGTTTCTTCCTGAAATTTTCTTAAACATGTATTTAACATCATAACTATAAGAAAGCATCCGGCAAGGTTGGAGTTTACATTAAAATTCCTCCACTCTCGAGGTCGAGTAGACAAGTTGAATAGACTCATGTATACAAAAAATAAACTTCTTTCGGCGGACGAATGAGCCACACCCGCGGAATTGAAACGATTTTCTCAGAATCGAGGGACCAACAACTTTATACAAAAATAATAGAGTCCAGCGTAACATCGAATGCAATTTTTTGTCCTCTTGCCAATTAATGATGCGCATCCTTAGACATCTCATGAATATCCGAACCAAGAAAACTAGTAAAATCAAGTCAATTTTTCATATCCCCAATCGGTTTTTGCTCTTACGTCCTGCAATTTCCTATTTTTATGCGCCGTTCACAGTTTTTTCTGAAAATCGGAAATTTTATCGTCTGTAACCGTTGACGTCATCGATGTAATCGCCATATCTTGAATGCCTACCATCCTTAAGTTTTTCCCTATGGAGGATATCAACACCATAGACGGTGAAGACCAACTCGAGACGCGGAAGAAGAAAAAACCCATACAACCTAGAGTATCTCTTTGTCTCGGATTGCAATAGCACTGTTTTCCTTGACGGCACCGTTCTTGCAGATTTCCAGACATGCCCGAGGAAACCAAGTCAATTCAGCCGCATTTTTTCAATTCGTCAGTTATCCCGTAAACGAGACCGTACGGACATGACGTCATCGACCTAACAGGATCGGGGCAACGGCCGATTTAACAGGGTACCATCTCATAATGATCTCGTTACCGCGCGTAAATGAGAAAATATGGGCCATGACTCATAATTGGTGCGCGCCACAAGCACCTAATCGAATGAGGAAAAGCAGGTGCGTTTTTTTTTTCTCTCGGCTAGCACGACTTTATCCTTGCGAGTACCGAGCAAAAAGTTGCAGCACACTCGCCTACTCGCTCGTAAATAGTCATTAAAGGGCATGCACTCACACCCATTATTAACATGGTAGCTGACAGTGCTCGTGTGCGAAGATGCTAGCATAGTACACTGAGAAAAAGCTATGGTTTATAAACCTATTAGTGGTAAATATGGAACACCTATAATAGTCGTAAATAAACTACTGATTCTCGGTCTGTGAACCATACTAAGGTCTCTGTACCTAATTAAGGTACAGAGACCATAACTAAGGTATATGTGCTATTATTATATGTAGAGGTACTACTATTAGTGGTGTTCCATATTTACCTCTAATAGGTTTATAAGCCATAGTTTTTTCTCAGTGTAGTTGAATATGAAATCAATGCGGTTTTCTGCACTCACGTGAATGAGATGTAGGCCCGAGGATTTTTGCGAAGGTATCGACCTGTTTCTGTTGTGCATGTACACCGTCAAAAGCAGCCACTATTAAATGTTTGCGATAGAGTTTTCCTTGGGATCCGACCTTATTACGTCTGGGAAATGAACTGTTACAGAGAGTGGATCTGTACCATTACAAGGTATGTTTTACCATCCTGCCAAAAAAAGTTACGAGCTGTATGAACATACCGTCCGTTCCGGGCTCAGAAGCCGAAAGTTCCAGGACTGCGTTATTTCATGGCACAATAGAACAGAGGCTGCTGGGTTTCACAAAATCCTTCCTTCAAAAATGCACATCATTTCTAAAGTTGAGGTGATTCGATGGACGCCATATTTTGCGTCAAAACGACACGGGATGTATCGCATCGATTGGTTTCATTTTTTCAGCTGCTCATAATTTTCCTCACATTTTGAGATCGCAATTCTGTTGTCAGAACACTAAAGGATTCACTTACCAATTTTGACCAACATGTTCAACGTAATAGAGACGTGGTTCTTTTTAGAGGAAGGATATCGTATTCGACTCTGATATCGAAACTGCTCTCGAATGCGATGTTTTTCCTCCAAGAAAACTACGCCTTTATTACGTTGAACATGTTTGTCAAAATTGGTAAGTGAATTTTTTAGTGTTCTGACAACAGAGTTGCGATCTCAAAATGCGAGAAAAGTGATGAGTGAGGCTGAAAAAATGAAATTAATCGATATGGTGTATCGCATGCTGTTTTGACATAAAAGATGACGTCCACCGGATCACCTTAAGGACAATAAATTCATGGCACAAAGAAGTCTATTCATCGTAAGTCACACTGAAATTGGTGTAGTGCCCAGTTTGACTCGAATATATTGGTTAATTAAGGCGACAAGTTTGATGAGGAAAACGGAAAACTCTAATTTCCCGTTGATCAAAAGTATTCGGAAATTGTCAAGGTATGCACTGTCTTCCACGTGCAATTTTGATGAGGAAGCACGTCGGTAATATACTCGGGTTTATAGCCCTATCAAGTGGTCCATTGCTTAATGAAAGGCTGATCGTTCATCGGAGTTCATTAGGCAAAGCCCATTAAAATACCACGACGATTTAGGTCTGATCAGCGACGCGGGCCCCGGCGGCGTTGGATATATACAAACATATTGAGGCGCACAGTGGTGAGGGTTAATGGGAAGAACCGGGCATGCTTTTGAAACTTTAAAATCAGCTCATATCTTAGTTAACACAAAATTTAGAAGTCTGAAAGTGGTTTCGTTGATTTTATTGTGAAATTTCCCTCCTTTGTCACCCCTAAATTGTAAATTGTGATGAATTAAATCTAATAATTTGCAATTCAAGCCGAATATTTCATTTTGAACCTCTCTCGTTCCACTGAGCGACGCGGCGCGGCGCGTCCTTGAAAAAGCGCGTTGCTGCGTCCCAATTCGCTGACGAACCCCAAATCCGATCCGATCCGCTGCATCCTGTCGATGTCAATCAGTCGAACGCACTCTGGCGCTTTGCTGCCAAGTCGCAAGATTTATACGAGATACGAAGAGAAGTGTAGGAAGGTGAAAGAAGAAAAAAATGGGGGGGGGGGGAGTCAGCCAAAGATTTAATGAGCCTGGCAAATTCTGCCTTACGATGAGGAACTCAAAGTGTCATTCAGTGCGCATGTATACATGTGCGGAACTAGGAACTTTTTTTTTGGTCAGGAGGGCACCCCATTGAGGGGTTCCTCAGCTTCAAAGGAGGGTTCGAAGGATTTCCCTAGGTCCAAAGAGGGCACGGGGGGCTCCCTCGGGAAAATTGTGCATAATTTAGTATAGTCTCATGGGCAATTTTTAGCTGTTTTTATCGAAAAATTGATCGAATTACAATTCAAAGATCACAGATATGTTGTGTACGCACTTACCAAACAAAATCTCTCATATTTTCCGGGGGAGGAGGCAAGTAGATTTCTAGGGGGGGGCCAGGTCCCTTCATTCCCGCCCACGGCAGGGAATAGACCATATTCGGGATCACACATTTAATTTCCAGCTTTTGCCGCTATCAAGAACATTGGGTCAACGTTTCAAGCCACAATTTGAGCCACATGCCACACGGCATGAAACATATTAGCGCCTACAAGACTACATGAATACTCCACGCATTGCGTCAAACAGAGTGCGGCCAGCAGCGCGCAGCGGTCGACGTGAATTGCATAGCGCCTACAAGACTGTAGGAATACTTCACGCATTGCGCCAAAGACAGTGCGGTCAGCGCGGCGGCGCAGCGCTGCTGCGGAGGAAGTTGTAATTATTAAACCACATTTATGTTTGCTTTATCGTAATTTTTTCGTTCATTTCTTATAAATGGAAGGCCTTGTCCACCCAGAGATTCGTTTACGGAATTTGCGCTCTAGCATTCCAAATATCGTTCATACTATTCATTTCCAAATTATTCGTAAAAAGATCAAACGATTAAAAATTACGTCACTTAACAGTACCACACCCAACTAGTTGAAAATCTCAATTTCTTGATTGAGCCAAAACGTCACTTAAAATATTCACACTCCATACTGAGGATCAAAGATTTCTCGGAAAGCAGCGTTCCACGAATAGGAACGGGAAAATTTCCGGAAGTCGTCAGAAAATTTTCCTGGAAGTACCCGTCTCTTCCAAGAGAGATGGATTGCGGTGAGCGCGTTCATGTATGTGTGTTTTTCTATCAAAGTTTACCGAGGTAGTCTGGGAACAGGAAAGATCCTTCGTAGATTCCCACTCTGGAGTCTTTTGTGTAATGTTAATCCACTTCTAGGGGGTACGCCTCCTGACAGCTTCGCAGTCCAATCCCCCGAAGCGCTTCGCGCCCAAGGCGTTATGCGTTACGTGTTACTCTTATGATCTCATGAAAATATTCATTATTTGCGTGTTATCATAGGATGTTCCCTAATGCTCTTTTTATTTCTGACTGTTTCAGGTTCCGAATCTCAAAACAACGGATCAAAATTTACGCACTACAAATTTCCCCACGTTACAGTGCGTTCAAAATAAACCAGTTCTGTCACGTCAACTTAAAAAAAAATCACCCCCTGAGTTTCCCATCTCTGCAAGCACTTAGTTCCAGTAACTCTTCGATTCGAAGTCTCACCATCCCATTTCTCGGACGTTAATCACAGCTTCAAAGAGTAGTTCCCTCTGAATTCCATCGAAGCCAGTTTCAAAAATTATTCACAAAATTCGGAAATCGTTATTTCGACGCGCCGCGGTTGTCCAAATTCATTCGAGTGATCGATAACGTCCCCACGTTGCCAAATCGGATGCGAATTTCCTGAAGTGCGGTTGTGATGTCGATCCGCGTGCGGCGGTGATGTGCCAGTGTTAGTGACGTCCGTGTGAGTGTGTGTGAATGTGAGCCCCGATATTCGTCCCCCGCTCCGAAGCCGCAGCCGCCAAGATGACGCAGACGAGAACGATCCTCATGCAGATGCCCTCGGCGATCCCTATCGACATCTCCTTCAAAGAGGTCACTTTCACCGTCAAAGATGGATTTGGAAAAGGTAAAAGCTCATCAGTCTGCCTACCGTTTTGCCGTGCTAAGGAAAAACGCCGTATGAACATTCGAGAGTTGCCAAATTTCCCCGAATAAAACATGTATTTTTGAAGGAAGCTATGCGTATTTTTCCTTAAAATTTTCCGATATCTTAGATTAAATTGGGAACAAAATTGTCTGGAAAATTAGAAGAAGAGTATTGAGAATTGTCCCAGTAAATTCGTTGGTTATTAAAGAAAATATGGCAACGCCTGAAGGTCCATACGGCGTTTTTCTTTAACACGGCAGCGTTATTCTCTGGCTCCTTTTCACGATCTCAGGGTGATTTTTCAAGATTTAAGGCCCAGATACACCTGCGAGGTACAAGCGCTTGTTGAAAATGAAACACTAATAGGCAAGGAGGATCTCGATAGCTCGACGTCGAGCGATCGAAAGCCAGGTTTCCTATCGGTGTTTCACTTTCATTAAGCGCTTGTACCTCGCAGGTGTATCTGTCGCTTGAACCTTGTGGAGTAATTTGAATTAGTACGATCCGTCCAATCTGTAAAGGTTCAGTTACACGATCAAATTGAGCCATCAAACTGAAGCTCTTATCAGTGGGATAAGACCTGTGGTTAGTATGCGACAAATGAGAGGCCCAATTTGATGGCTCAATTTGATCGTGTACTGGACCTATAGATACGTGATTTCGCACTTAGGCCATCGATATACTCCATCGATAGCTTAATGTTAAGTTTTCGTGGATAAGGCTTTTTTCCTTACAGCCTCTCAAATTCTGACCGTGTGACGACAGCTTAACTTTACTGAAAACTGAGCGATCTTAATCGACTTTGAGCGTCCTGCGTGCCTCCGGAGCTTCCGCCCGCTAAACGTTAGAACAGATTCGAATCAGTTGTTTTCAAAAAGGAACAAGTCCATATCTGCATGAGCCTTGGCTCGCGTAAAAGGACACGCTAACTAAGACTCATCGAGGAACGAACCCGCCCCTTTTTGAAAGCAACTTATTAATTTTCCGTGTTTTCCTGAAAACGCTCGCGTGTCGAGTCGATGGAAGCGGGGGCGACCTTGCCGAAACGAAGCGGCACCAGGCATGGCCTCTGACTTGCCGCGGACGCGACGGTTCCCACCGATGGCGGTTTGTTGTGTGTAATTTTCGAGCGAATCCGGGGAATTATCGCCGATCGGTGGGTAGCCACTCTATAATTCCGCTCATCCTTGAGTAACTCGATAGCACCACCATTAACTGATAAACGTGCGTCGCCATCAAGGGGGAGGGTCATCTAATTAGGGATCCTGTACGTGCCACTCAAGTTTCCACCCCCGATATGCCCAGAGCAGGGCTGGATTTAGGGGGTGGCCACATGGGCCGCGGCCCATGGCGTCAAATTTAGGGGGCGGCAAATTTTGCAATGGACCACTAGACAAGGCACGAATTTCAACATTCTAACATGTGTTTCCTTACCAAAATTTTACGTAGAACACGATGCGCACAACAAAAATTACCGAAATCAACTCCTTACAAAGATATTTAATGATTCGTGATGCGTGAATTTAAACCACCCGCTCATTTAAACTCAAATGCTCTACGTGATTCACATCGCGCGCTAAACATTATCATGACAGTCTCTGCTGTATAAAAATCTGGCAACTTCAATCTTGACGCTTTGGCTCAGCTATAGCAAATGGCTTATAGTTTGAACAACACATGGTGAGAAATAAACATTGCTTGATTGAGAAGCTCGCTGAAACCCTTGTAGTGCGCGATTTGACTCACGTAGAGCTTTGAGTCTCTTGTGAGCGGGCAGTTCAAATTCCTCGTAACCAATGTGAAATAAAAACGTAAATATCTTCGTCAGGAGTTAGTTTCAGTGATTTTCGTTGTGCGAATCGTGTTCTACGTGAAATTTTGGTTCAGTACCATGTTTCAGATTGCTTAAATTCGTACCTTGTCTAGTGGTCCATTCTTTTAAAATGCGGTATGACAAAAAAAATCGGATTCAGAAGAAAAATTACGAACGAGAAAAGGCGACAAAATCTCTCATTTCCTGAGAGTACAGTAATTTCTCATTTTGTCGTCTTTCGGTGATATAAGGGACAGCACCATTAATTGGACTGCATTTTGCAATTTGGAACTATAAATTCTGGCCCGGTTTAAAAACAACGTATGTGCAATTAGTTTCCTTATGTACATAAGTGTTTTTTAAGATGAGCAAGAATTTATAGCTCCAAATTGCAAAATGCAGTCCAATTGGTCGAGTTAAGAGAGAAACCGAACACGCAATTTGGCCTAGAACGGCGCGGCGAAGGGCGCAATGATGACGAGGACTTGAGATGGAAAGGAGAAGCCCTCGGTGTGGCGGTCGGCATGAAACATATTAGCGCCTACAAGACTACATGAATACTCCACGCATTGCGTCAAACAGGGTGCGGCCAGCAGCGGTCGACGTGAAACGTATAGCGCCTACAAGACTGTAGGAATACTTCACGCATTGCGCCAAAGACAGTGCGGTTAGCGCGGCGGCGCAGCGCTGCTGCGGAGGAAGTTGAAATTATTAAACCACATTTATGTTTGCTGTATCATAATTTTTTCGCTCATTTCTTATAAATGGAAGGCCTTGTCCACCCAGAGATTCGTTTACGGAACTTACCTCTCGCGCAAAGTTCCGTGAACTTTTACTAGTAGTGTTGACAGGGCTTTGCAAAAAATGTGTTCAAGACGAGTAAACGCGTTTTATGAACCCCTCCCCCTCCGGCACGTTCACTTGATGGTTTTATTTATCTTTCATAACGAAAGAGAAGGGGGCGGCAAAATACAGGCGGCCCAAGGGCGGCTTATAGATAAATCTGGCCCTGGCTTAGAGTCCCTTTATAGACAGAATTAAGACAACGCAGCTCATGGATGTCACAAACGGGAATGAAGATTACTCAAATTGAACGTTTCTCGTAATCTTTGATCAACTCACTCTCTAATTCCTTTTTCCGTTCCTTCTCTCATTCCGTCTGTTCCTTGCCGTTACCCGTTCCATTCCAGTTTATAATCTTTGCAATCGGTGAAAATGAATTCTTTATTCCCGTTTGTGACACTGTGGAGGCCTGAAATACAGGAACCAATCAGAAATGGATTCGTACTGTCTTCACTCTTAGTATAAAGGGACTCAAGATATCCGGAGTACCCTCCGGATACTCCGGGTATAGTTCTGCCAAGTGAAACTATGTGCATTATGACGTGAGCCCTGTTATGCATATATTCTTATGGGCTCAGGAATCATGTCTTAATGCACTTAGTTCCGTGAGGCAGAAATACATCTAATTATTCCAGTCCCGAAGTGACAGATCCGTGCTGCAGTGCTATCGTGATATAATGAAAAGATGCATCAAAGATAACATCGCAATCACAACTATAAAATCATTTTTGACCTGAGATTCACCACTAGCATTGTATAAGCAATCATTTTCTCTTACTCGCACGAAGGGATGGGAGAGTATAAATATTGATGAATCTTAATCTCTGGAGCAAACAAAACCAATTTTAAGAGCCAAAAACGCCGGTGAAAACTACCAAACATTCTAACTTTCGTTGCGCACCAACTGGGCTACATTTTGCGATTTGGAACTATCATTTCTGGCTCATTTGTAAAAATACGTATGTGCACAAGGAAACCGATGATACATACGTTGTTTCTAAATTGAGCCAGAAATTATAGTTCCTTATTGCAAAATGTGGTGCAACTGTAAATGACACACCCACTGGAATCAGGAATGATGAAAAATATGAGTATTTTTAAGTTTTGAAATCGAAAATGTAATGAAAATATTAGGATGAGAGCCAACACGCTACGATAATACACAATTTAAATTTATTACTAACACGAGTTATAGTAAATGCCGAGGCCTTTCGGTTACACAGAACCGTCATCAAGGCGAATGTGCAAACAAAACAATGAAAATGCAAGTAGTGTCCTTCCGGTATTTAGCCAGAAAATTAAGTAGTAAGGCTGATAGTTCCCATTTATGTGCCGTTGAACAACAAGCTCGCTGAGCTGTTTATTGCGCGACGAACGGCCTACCCGTCATCGATCACCTTAGGTCCTTGCAAGTGATTAATTTTCTCGATGATGCAGCTAAAATCCATGCACTGCGCCCCAGGCGACAATCTGCGATAATCTTCCAGTGACTGATCAAGTTTTAGCGCCTTTCAGCTCGAATTTCCTGCAAAATTTAAGCTTCATTGATTAATTACTACGAGGAAAAGCACCCTTAAAAACAATCTAATTTTTAGAAATGTATTCACACTGGTTCATTCATTCTATTGAATGTTAGTCCGACCTCCTTTAAAAAATTAAACTGCAGCGGAGCTTTTGAAACGCCGCAACCGAGAAACGCATTTTCGAAGTTCCACCGCACTGACAAAAAAATATGGTAGATTTTACCATACTCTGACGCAGTGATCAAAGTATGAAAATTAACACTAGAATCTTTGGTAGCATTTATCATATTATGGTAAGTATCGCACCCGAGTTCTGGCGGATACTACTATAATTATTGTTTTTTCACTAAATGGTGTCACTGTGTAAAAAATCAAGTAGACATATAGTGGATGTTACCATACTTTTTTTTCAGTGCGTCTATATAATGTGGTGCTTCAGTTGACACCATGTCCGGAAGACGCTTCTGATTGCTAATGAAGTCCGATCATTGACACAAATGAAATTCTTGTTCGATTCACGTGGATTTGACAGTGTTTCGGTCTTGTCTCAAAATTAGCGGTGGCTCAAAAGTATCGGAAAATTCTTTACATAATCGACGGACGCTGATAAGAGAGATAACCCCCAAAGACTTCACTAATTTGAGGAAATCGGCGACATCGAAAGTTGAATCAACCGAATTATGAAAACGGATTAATTATTGGCTGAGGTCCGGTCGTATCGCTGTTTTATCGTCTCTCTACGATAGGTAGGAAGTGAATAATTCGATACCGAAGTGCGAGAAAAAAATAATTCAGGTTGA